AAGGTGACAAGCTTACTCACAGAAGAATCTCTGCAGGACAATACAAATGGGCTTTTCAATGAGTTTTCCTGGGCTTGCGACAAATGTGAGCACAAAAGAATTTGCATAAAACTGTGGTCAAGCGAACAAATACAAGTTGTATTCTGGTATACCTATTTTTTCTAGCGAGTTATGAGCCAAAAAGTAAGCTTTTTGAAGAAGTCGAACATTTGATATGCAATGAAACCACACTGGTAATAAACCTCAAAGATTGTTTTGGACACCTCAAGTACTTTGTACTTCCACATATACACTCTGGATCTAAAGTACTTTCTGCCTGCAGGTATGCTTCCAGTATTCTTTAGAAAATCGATCTATGACTGAACTTAATGAGCATTACATTTGCTATTGGCACACAGAGGACTGTATTACTACGAGAAATGCATCAAGAGAGTAATTGCAGAACAGAGTTGCGAGCATCACCCTATTCTGAACAAGTCTGAACAGGTGCAGTTGCAAATCAACTTGCTCAAGAAGTACTCCTTCGTTTGCACTGTGCCTGAAAGCAGTAAGTTCCAAGGCCAGAAGACAAAGCACATCAAAGTTTAAAGACAGAACATACAATGCAATTCAAAATTTCAGGCAATATGTGCAAAATCACAGTAAGCAGGCTCAAAGAATGCCTGGGCATATTACAAACAGCAGTTATTCCAAACGCCGACTTAAAAGGATCCAGACGAAATCTGTCAGATGCTTGCAAGTAAGCCCAATAACAATGCCAGCTTGTTATGTGTTTGCATTTTTTAAACACACTGAAAATAAGTCATTTTTCAAATGCACTCATGTAACTCCAACCCGACCATCTAACCAAAATATATTCGTTCAGCGCACTGCAGTACTACGACAGTTGCATTGAGGAGATTCACAGCGACTACTGTAAAACGGACAAGCTCTACCCTCCTTCTCCAGAAGTTTTGAAATATGCTTTGGACTTGCAGATAAAGTACAGGTGGACTTGTGTTCCAAGGGCTAGGCAACGTAAGTTCACCTTATGTTCCCCAATCAGAATGTTGACTGGGCTAATACATTGCATAACTGCCTCTTGCAGCCTGCGTTCTGCCAATGTTAGTAGAAAAATTGAGACGCTGCATTCCATTTTTGACTGACATAGCAAAGCCAATAAAGGACAATGCAACCGCAGGTATCAAAGAGAGAAAAGAAATGTGTCGGTAAGAATTAAAATTCTCCGGTGCTATCAACAAATAGAGATATTTTATCATTTCTTCATATTATTAGTGCAGCAACATATTACGAAGCTTGCATCAAGGAAGAGATGTCAGATTCCTGTAGCACTTCATCTATGGCTGTGGTTCTCAAAGAAACAAAGGCATTTTTTGAAGCTGCTAACGAATTTCACAACCTTTGTAAGACCCCCCATCCAACCGGTAAGAACCTGCAGGCTTTTCTATAATTGTAGAACAAACATTATCCTCATTACCTGAACATTAAGGTGATATTAGGGGGGTTGCTTCCGCAGTAAAATTATCTGGACGGCAGTGAACAAAGTACAACAGAAGGGTTACAGGAAAAACTTAAGGGGAGATGTGGGTCAAAAAATGACAATATCTTGAGAAAAAAATGTGATTTTGGGGTTTATGGTGTTTTATTATCTTTGAATCTTTATATTTGTGTATAAAAATAATAAATGCCGGTTATTATCGTGAAAATATTAAAATATGCATTTAAAGACCACCCGGCAACACAGAACGGCATAAATTAGAGCCATTTTCCTGTGCATGGTTCTTCAAATTGTGACGTCGCCAGTCATCACATTTAGGTTGACAAGTAGGCCTAGCCGTCTCCTCTCCATCACAGTCTTCCGTAGCTTCAATTTCTCAGGAAATATTATAAACAAAATATCCTTTTTCCCGCAGCAAAAGGGTATTCCTACACATCTGTGGTAACATTCAAACGTTTCTTTCTTTATGTAATTAGGAGTCATCATCAAAATTTGCGCACAAAAATTTTGGTTCTTAATATTGCCCTAACACAACCACATTTGGCATGCATATCCTTTAGGATATGTAGAATGCAACTAAGTTTGGTTAGAATGTATATTTTTTTTATATTTATGAAAAATTTGAGAGGCTTTAGTTAGCGCCTTGAAAATGAAGATTGATTTTAAAATAAAAAAAGGTCTCACACACATAATTTTTGCTGTTCATTGCACTCATTGGTTTAAAAGGTGTGAATTTAATTTACTAGGCTATTTTAAGTGTGTTGTCATGCCCCATGTGTGCACAAGAACATGGTTTTTTTCTGCATGTGCATTGCATTCAGAACATAAAAAAACACTATTTCAAATGTAACACCAGATTTTTAAAAAAGAGAATAAGCACCACAAACTGTAAAAATTTCATTTAGTTATTGTAAATAATTAAAAAAAATATGTTTTCCCCTGCTCTTTGTAAAGAGACTTCCTGTTAGGTTTGAAGATTAAAACAGCACAAAGGTCGAGGGACCAAATGAAGAAAGACACATGAGACAGGGCCGTGTCTTCCTTAATCTGGTTCCTTGTCCTTTGGGGCTCCAATCCACGCTGTAAAGGTGGTTGAACAGCAAAGCTGTGGTATCACCTGTAACGACCAGCCACTGCACAATAGACCCTTTTTATGGCAAATGCCACCAGGTGGTGCTCCAGTCCTTGACATCCCCAGAGAACTTCCAGTATATAAAAAGAATAAACAAAGGCCACCTTAACACCACTGCTTGAAATGTAGATAAAACGTTTAACCACAAATCCTCCAGGTGAACACCAAAGGAATGAAGGAGTGTGAGATCTGTTAAAATGTTGAGAGTATTCTTGTAAACCAACTTGCCTCCTCCAACATGTAATATGTAATATTGTACAGCCGAAGGCCCTCATTAAATCTCCAACTTTCTTGTCCGTGTAGCATTTATGCTTTCTTGCACTGGTGACATAAGCAAGCTTAACAGGCTTGCAAAGACGGTGCAGCAGTAAGTCGCTTGGGACGCAAGAGGCAGTTCATGTTTGTAAACAGCAAAAGGATCTATGCGGAGCACAACTTCATCTGCTTCTTTTTCAGGGGTTGTGTTGATGTCAGAACGCCGAGCTCTGAATGGCTCTGAATGGCTCTGATTGAAAGATAGAGGGTAGACCTCGAGGCAGATTGCTTTGAGGTCTTCAATCAGAGCCAATGAGAGCTCGGCGTTCTGACGTCACCACAACCCCTGCAAAAGAAGCAGACGAACTTGCGCTCCGCATACCAAATGATTGACGAAAGAAAAGTAAATGCACTGTACCAAAACCTTTTATATATGAAAGGATGGTGACATCACTCCCCACGTCGCAAGCTGCCATCGCCGCAGCAGCTTGCGCAACAGTAATCTTTACCGGGAAACGTATGCGGAGAGCGCTAAGTGCTTCGCATTGTTATCAGGAGTGCCTTTTCATCAATTATCTGGTTCGGATGCTAGTTTTGCGTTGTTCTTTATTGAAATGAATGCTGTGCAGTATGTTGCATGCATGATATGCTCTTTGCTTCAATAGCAGAAGGTTTTTTTTCCGCAAGGATGACATGAAAAAATTCCAGAAATCCGACCTGCGAGTCATATACAGCTTCACTGCAATATGCCATACAAACTCGCCCAAGGTTCAACTTGAGTTCTCGTTAGGCTTCAATTTTTTTTTTTTCTAACAGAAACAACAATAACCACCAAGAAGCAGGCTGCATGTGTACACATCATGGATAGATCCCCACTGAGACAGATAAAAAGAAAACCCCTTGACTACTAACTAATAGTGTCATTCGTGCCATCTGTTATGGGCCAGAAAGCCTGACCACAAGTCTGGCTCGTGTTTCGGTTTTGAAGCTTATTTTCTGTGCTCTGCGGCAGATGGCAGTAATACCACACTATTGCTCTGCCCAATTCAGTTAATTTCATTGTTTTTTTTCTGAATTTTCACCGAGAGAGGGCTCCACTGTCCCAAGAGAAAAAAAATATTCCACATCTGCAAGTGCGAGGAAAGGCAAAATAGCTGCAACGAGGAGGTACGCTTTAGCTGATGAATATAGAAAATATATTTGAAAGTGACGAGTGATCTGCCATTTCTGATGACGAGTCGTACAGCCTCTGATGATTCTGAAACTTTATTTAAAATCAACAAATTGCACAAAAATAAAGGAAACGTTCACTTGCTCCCCCCTTTCCTGAATGTTTTCAATGGTGCCACACAGTGAAGACCTACTGAATGGAGACATCAAGTAGTCAGGAGTTGATAGAGAGCAACAAAGTTTAATGGTATGCTTCATGAAAGAAAAATTAATATTCAATGAATTAAAGGCAAGAAGAACATGGACACTTTTTGTGGCTTGTGTACAAGTTCTAAGGCGTCGTAATCGGATTATGACGCACCCAAGCGTACCCCAACTGAGCAAGATGGCGGTGCCCTGAGGCCGTCCCTGCAAACGTGTATCTTAAGCAAAGGAAAAAAAAAATGCTTATAATGAACATATTGTTCCCGCAAATTATGCTCCACTGCCAAGTAGATTTTGACATGGTTTTGCTGGTGTACTCTACAGAACTTGCGTGCACTGAGGAGTCCTTGCTTGAAAATGTTATCCAGTGCACAAGCATAGTTACAAGTGCTGTCATCCCTTTGTCGAGCAAGAAAGACTTGGCAAGTTTAAAGCAAGCTTGCAAGTAAGATTTTTTTTTATTCTTATTCTTGCAGAGTGGCATTCATTTTTGGGTTACCTGTGAAATCAGTCGAAAAAATTGACCCACACAATAGCAAGCTCAAACTTTCGTTAAAGGTGTATTTTAGTAGTCAACTTTAATTCAAGAAATTTTTTAGTAGGTTCGCTCCTATAAAAAAACAAATTCTACATAGAAACTTCTAATGCCGGATACTGAAGCAGATGGTAGTCAGGCAGACAGTCACAATGCAGTGAAGTCATTGAGTTAACTAGAAAGCACAAGCTAAAAATTTTGCTTACCACCTGGGTGGCATCTCCATTTTCCATTCCCCAGGTATCTTGCATTAGGGATAGGTACAGCTGAAACACACAAACGTTTTGTCCCTTTATGTACATTGTGTCACCAGTATTCAAGAATGAAATGGCTCTTAATAAAGTACATGAAGCTAACTTTGATATTTTATTTGCCTTCAGGTTTTTATGAGGCATGTACACAAATGGATGCCTGTTAGCTAAGCATGCCAAGGCGAGTGCATTATCAGTTTAGTATTTCTTGCATTTGTTGCTCGAGTTTTATTGGAGGGCCTTATTTGAATAATATTTTAGTTATGTTTTGTGCACCCAATGGTAGATTAAGAAATTGTTTGTGGGGACAGGAAAATAAAGCACCATTAATAATATTATGCCTTCAAATTACAGAAAGTAAAACAGGTCACTGAAATAATACACCTTGATTTTTCTAGCTGATTTCAAAGAAGACCCACTGATGAATGCCAACCTATATAGTATATATTGAGGGTGTTTGATTTTAATTTGAAAAGATAAAAAAAAAAGGGGGTGACAGTTACAAGAATACTTTCACCACATTGTGTCTATAGGGCTCGGATGACATTGGATAGCCACCACAATAAATTGACTAGTTCATTCAAATCTATTAACCTCATAATTAATGGTTTAATGGGCTGTGTTGCAACTGCAGTTTTAAAGGTAGTCATTATTAGAGAACAGTTCAATTTAAACAATTAGCATAAAGACAACTGGATTTCAGATATGCAACAGTCAATTTCTGCATGTTTGGCAAATGATTTCAAAACTGGACGCAGAACGAGCACCAAAACCCCTGTCCATAATGCTGCAGGGAAGAGTGACGTAGGCACTTGATTCATGTGCTTCGTCATTATCTCGGCAGCCTGCCGCTGGCGCATCCGCCAAGGACAAGCTGTCGAGATATTAATCAGGTGTGTGAAATGACTGCATCCCGCTTCCGTGAAGTAATTACAGTAAAACCTCGTTATAACAAAGTTGAAGGAGCAATCGTAAATATTTCGTTATAACCATTAGTTTGTTATAGCCAGTGTCCATTTCTTCCCTATTAGCAAGCAAGGGGAATCACGATTGCTTTGTTATATCCATTAGTTTGTTATATCCCATTTTGTTATAACGAGGTTTTACTGTATTATGAAAAAAGGTTCCGACACTCTTTCTACGTCAAACTTTAAAATCAGGCGACAAAAATGCAATAACTGATCCATAACGATAAGCGAGTGGAACTCTCTCCCAGAACAAGCAGTATCGTGTCAATCGCTGGAATCTTTTTGTTCTTATTTTGCATTTGATGACGTGGGCAGCAATCCTTGAAATTGCATGTTTAATTACTTTTCTCTTTTTGTCGCGTCATGATCTCCTGCCAGCGTCATTCTTCCATTGTTGTATTGATTTTACATTTTTTCCCAGCGCCGATTGATTCTTCTGCAATATATTTTTAGGACGGGTTTGCAACGAATGCAGTTGTCAAGTTTTTGTTGTGTTCTTTTTATTTTTTCCTTCAGTGTTTATAAAGTTTTTTGTTCATGCCCTCCCTATCATAGTCCCATGTAGGGACTGATAGTATTTTGAAATAAAATAAAATTAACATATTGAAGTTAATCGACATTTTTCACACTGTTTAAATTGATTTAGTTTTTCATATGAACGTCTTTAAAACTGCAATTGCAACATGCTCCATAAAAGCAAAGTTAAAAAGTTAATCAACAAATTTTGGTTAGTCGACTTATAGTGACAGTTATTCCCTTACTCAACGTCCACTAAGCCTGATAAATACAGGGTTAAGACGACATCCACGTGACTCTAAACCCTCCCCCCCCCCTTTTTTTTTTTTTAATCTGTTCATATATGGTCTCAGTAGAATAGAATGTATGCAACATGCTCCAATGTTATAACTATCCATGTTTGCTCTGGTGAAAAGATACCTACGGTACTACGAGACATGCGCTGTATTCACCCAAGACAAAGCCTGCGATCTCACGAAAATGGACATGAGTGGAAAAATTCGAAATCTTACGAAAGCGCTCATACAAAAATACAGTTGGGTGTGCTCTGGAAATGGTAAGCACTAGTTCCATCTGACAGATAACACTGCATGAATGCACTGGTAAGTCTGCTTAAAGCTTTTATATAAGAAGAGAAAGGTGTAATATGAGATGCAAAAGATAAGGTGAAAAAAAACAAAAAAAAAAGATTTCCAAAAATTCTCAGAAGTCTAAAGCAATCCTTTTTTTTTTTCAGTGACAATCTGTTTGTATGGTGAGATGCGGCAGGCATTCAGTATTTGCAGCATAAAATGGATTAAACCAGAAAGCTTCAAGTTACCCAAAAATACAACTGATGCAAACAAACTAGCTGCAGCATGCAGGTAAGAATTCGCAAATTCATTGCTGGGAAAAAATACTACCAGTATATAGGTGTGCTAATACCATGTTGTTGTAAAGGCCGGATCACACACTTGCAACCGACTACAACCGAATGAGCCAAGACCGGGTTTTAAGCCTCTGGCAGTGGCTAAATAGCGGATGCGCTGCTGCGGAGCCGGTCGTAAGCTGTCACAAGAGGCTCTAAAATCGGTCTTGTCTCATTTGGTCATAGTCGGTTGCAAGTGTGTGAAAGGGCCTTAATCCATATAAAGCAGCAAGCAAGTTTCACTCCAATACGAAACAACCAAAATATTTCATGACTGGGACAAATTACGTACAGTCGTAAATCTGTCTATAATGCGGGAGAGTGTGGCTTTCCCCGGCGAGCACTAGACTGGTGGCATTTGCAGAAACTGTTCTATCGTAGAATACCGCACATCCACCCCAGTCCACATTAAGCGGCCATTACCAAATTTGTAAGATCTGAGAAAATACGCGCAGTACATTTATATTGTCACGGGTGGTGACCAATAAACAATAAATAAACAGAAAGAAATAAACGTTTAATGTGGCGAACTTGTGCCAAAAATAAAAGGGTACAAAAGATAATAACGGAGCGTCGCGGGCATCGAAGTCGGCGTAGCAGCAGAGTCGAACGCTGGGCGAAAAACTGACTGCAGATCAGCACGCGGAGTCCCTTATGTACGCGCGTTGGGTTCTGGAACAATCGGCCTAGATTGTTCGGTGACTGGAACATTCAGAACTAGATCTGACGAGAATGTTCTCGAACTCACGAGAACGCAATGAAAGAACAAATAAAAGAGCATTCCACTGACTGGAATCGAACCCAGACTTTCTGCACGACAGTCAAGCACGGTAACCACTCGGCCACGCGCGCGGTCGCTCGCTGACGAGCGTGGCATTATCGGGCCAACGTACGGCTGTAACCAAGGTCTCCGGACGTCGGGTCGTCGTGACAGGCTTGGAAGATCTCCGCTCTAAGGTCGGTGGGGATTACCAGCAGCCATGGTGTGCTGTTGTCTCCGAAGTTCTCCTTGTAAAGTACACCTTGTCGGAGGACGAAAGTCGGCAGGGCTCTCGAGAAGACACGGGGGACAGTACCCCCTCGTCCTTCGAGGTGCTCGATTAGCGCGCGCAACTCAGGATCGTCTCTTTGACGTCGTGACATGTCGTCGGTGTTCACTGCACCTAGGAAGCACTCGTCGTCTTCGTCGTTGCTGCTGCCGGAAGGTGTTTGGATGGGGGCTCTGGACAGGCAGTCGGCGTCGCTGTGCTTGCGGCCTGACTTGTAGACCACAGTCATGTTGAACTCTTGTAGTCGTAGACTCCATCGAGCAAGGCGTCCTGACGGGTCCTTGAGGTTCGCAAGCCAGCAGAGCGAGTGGTGGTCCATGACTACACGGAACGGGCTCCCGTACAAATACGGACGAAACTTCGTGATTGCCCAGACGACAGCAAGGCATTCTTTCTCAGTTGTGGAGTAATTTTTCTCCGCCTTGGACAGTGTCCGACTTGCGTAGGCGATAACTCGCTCGGTGCCGTCTTGCACTTGAACCAGTACCGCGCCAAGTCCAACGTTACTTGAGTCCGTGTGAATTTCGGTTTCCGCATCTTGATCGAAATGTCCTAGAACAGGAGGAGTCTGCAGTCGTCGCTTCAGCTCGTCGAATGCCTGCTGCTGCTTCTCGGCCCATTCGAACTTCTCAGCGTCCTTTGTGAGGTTTGTGAGTGGTGCGGAAATCCTTGCAAAATCCCGGATGAAGCGCCGATAGTAGGCACATAGTCCAAGAAACCTTCGCACGGCCTTCTTGTCTGCCGGTACTGGAAATGCTGCGACGGCGCGAGTCTTCTCCGGGTCGGGGCGAACGCCTTCGTTACTAACCACGTGACCTAGAAACTTCAGTTCGTCATAGGCGAACCGACACTTTGACGGCTTCAGGGTGAGTCCGGCGGTCCGTATGGCTTGGAGAACTGCTCGGAGTCGTCGCAAGTGCTCGTCGAAGTCGCTGGAAAACACTACGACGTCATCGAGGTAGACGAGACAGCTCTGCCACTTCAGTCCTGCCAGTACAGTGTCCATGACACGCTGGAAAGTTGCTGGAGCCGTGCACAGTCCGAAGGGCATCACCTTGAACTCGTACAGCCCATCTGGCGTGACGAAAGCGGTTTTCTCTCGGTCCCGTTCGTCGACTTCGATCTGCCAGTAGCCGCTCTTCAGGTCCATGGATGAAAAGTATCGGGAGTGGCGCAGCCGGTCTAACGTGTCGTCGATGCGGGGGAGTGGATAGACGTCTTTCTTCGTCACTGCGTTCAGCTGCCGGTAGTCCACGCAGAACCTAAGCGTTCCGTCCTTCTTCTTAACCAGTACAACTGGAGAGGCCCACGAACTGCTTGAGGGTTGGATTATGTCGTCATTCAGCATCTCTTGCACTTGCTCCTGGATCACCTCCCTTTCTTTAACGGAGACTCTGTACGGCGATCGATGCACAGGGCGCGCGTCGTCCTCGGTAACGATGCGGTGTTTCGCAATGGTGGTTTGGCGCACCCTCGACGACGTCGCGAAGCAGTCACTGTATTCGGCGAGAAGGTCACTTAGCTGCCGTCGTTTCGGGCCTGGAAGCTTGCGGTCAATGTCGAGCTGCGCTGGCG